GTATGCGCAATATTACGCTCAAGGGAAATCCTTACAAAAAAGTAAAATATATATATTTGATGTTTATTTAATTAAATAAAATTATTATTTATAAAGAAGTATAAAGAAAATAATGAGATGAACTGCGTAGTTGAAAGCTGTAAATAAAATTTATGATAGAGAAAAAAAAAACTACGTTGATGAAATTTTATGCTTTTAAACATGTGTTTCATTCGATAACATTTATAAAAATTTATCAGTTTTTATTCGGGTAACATTTTTAGATGAGATAATCTTTTCCCAACTGAGTAATATATTAAATAATGCCTTAAATGCATCCATTTTAAGTCGTAATTAATTCTGTTTTTTTCGTTTTGCGTTTTCAATTAATAATTTCTAAAGATTCATTGTTTAATAAAGTATATTCTTATAAATAAATTTCAAACTAGATATTATAATATATTATTCATTATTTTAGGAAATCTGTTTACATAAATAAATTTTGAGTAACTAAAAATTAAATGTTTTGTGCAGATTGCAAATTTTTCCTAACAATATTCTACGGTAAAAAGTCCCCTCTTTTCTGTTGATATTTTTAGCTATTATAACAATGATGATAGAAATATAAGAAAATATTTCAATGCCTCATGGGGAAATGAAATATTAATAAAGTTTTACAGTTTTATGAGATTAAAATTATTTATTTTTGGTTCTTTAAATAAATGTAAATAGGTTTTTACCAGTTAAGTTTAATGGAAAAAAAACTTGAAACAGAAAACCAGAATTTTCGTGAAATAATTAAAGCATTATTATAGTGAAAAATAATTATAGAGAAATAATATAGCAAAAGGATTTTAAAATCCTAAGAATTACTAGCTGGAGAACAATCGCAGAAAAAGCAGAATTGAGGAAGGTTCTAGGGAAGGCTTTGACCCACAAAGGGAGCCTATTTTAGAGTACTTGAATGATGCTGACCTTATTACTAACCATGGATATTTCAAAAAATTATCACCTAGCTTTTTTTTTTAAATAAAGTTTCAAGTTCATCAAGCTTACTTATACTTTAGTTTTAAACTAAGTTAATACTTTATTTAAAATCATAAGAAGAATTTTAAAATATGTAACAAATTGAGTTTTTATTAATTAAATAAAATTATTACAATTATTGTACACAAATTGAGAAAATAGACAAAAAATGTAATTTAAAAAAATCTGCTGCTTAAGGAGCAAAATTAATGCTAGAGTTGAAATCACTACAACCTAATCAGGTAATATCAAGTATTTGTATGAATTCAAAGAAATATTTATACCCCAGTGTAATTGATAAATATTTATTTAGCGTCATATATTGAAAACAAATAAAAGTTTGCTTAGTAAATTTCTAGACATGCTTTTAAGAGGGTTAGAGAGTAAAAAAAATAATTTTTTTTTCCCAAATACCATTTCAGTTCCTATATATGACGCAGATTTAAAAACTACACATTAGAATAGCGTGCATAGCTAAAGAAAAGCATTTTAATTGTCAGTACGAATGCTACTCTTTTATCTTATAAAAGAAAGCCAAATTAACGAGAATCTGCTTCAGATGGTCAATCTGTGTCATCGATTGGAAGTTGATGCGCCCAAAAGCTATTTAAATCGGTAGTGGTTTGTTCAGAAACCCTATCTTGTATTTTCTTTTAGCTCATCTATCAGTTCATCATATCATGTTCTTCAAGATATGAAATATTCTCTCCCCAGCTCATCATAGGTGACGGAATTTACAAAACTGGCAATGTGCATCGCATGAAATGTTAAGAATTGATACAATCCTTAATTACCGTGCAACATTCGAGTGGCGTATGGAAATTTTTCAGGCATCTAGTGGCATCATTTTGTACCAGTATAGGAGAAAAGAATTTCCAAGTCATCCACTAAAAAAAAAAAAAAAAATCAAGCACAAATGTACTTTTCTTGAATTTTCGTTCCTGAATAAATATATTGTTTATGGTATGCAATTTATGGTATACATATATTGTTATGATATATTATATTGTTTATGGTATAAATTTTAGAAATGACTATTGTAGTAAGTAAAGGTCTTCCTTGGCAGCTAGTTTGTATACCCCGTAAATAATGGTAGTTAAGGCCTACCTATACTTATCACATAATGGCTGATACCTTTGACGTGATCTTGACTAAATGTCCAGCAATGAGGCAGGAAAAAAATATTTGAAGCCATGCTGACTCAAGGGATAGAGCATTCGCCTCCCAATAATTTAAACCGAATTCGAATCCCATCAGCGATGGCATTTTCAATACGAATTCGGTTCCCGGCTCGCACCGACCACAATACTGACATAAACATATCCTCAGTGGTAGACGGATTATGGATTCGAGTCCTCTTGTTTTCAGGCTAACTGTGGGAGGGTTTCAGGGATTTCCTCTCAATGTAACGCAAATGCGGATTAGTTCTATTGAAAAGTCCACCACGAAGGCAAAATTTTCCCCAATACTCTATCCTGGAGTTCTGGATTGAGATCAAAATTACAAGGCTACGAAGTTGAACATTAGTAGTCGTAAAACTCAAAATTAGTTCGGTTGTGCAATGACGGTTACAAAAAACATAACCATATGCAACTGAACTTTTCTGGAATTTGTTTCCCTGAATGAATATATTGTATCATGATATTTACAATAAGGCAATTTTTAAAAGATGTGTTATGTCTGTAGCTAGATTGTGTATCCCAGAAGTAATGGTAGTTAAGGTCTACACATGCCTATCACATAATGGTCGATACCTTTGACGTAATCTCGACCATATGTCCTGTCCTCGACTATATGTCCAAAAGATTTGATATGCATGAAGCCTACTCCGGCACCACTCAAAAAGTCCTTTACAATTAGCGGCTTAGTACCAATATCATTACTGTGTGGTATTGATAAAGAAAAAGTGAGTAAAAATGTGTCAAAATAGTTCAAAAATAGATAATAGTCGATTTTGAAAAATACGTGAACTCAAAAATGTACGAGTACATAGTTATTTCACAGCAAAATGCATAGTCAAAAAAGTAAAGCGGATGAAAGTATGCGTGAGAGATATGGTCGTTAACTGCCGGCAGGATTCGAACTAAGGAATTTACAATTAGGATGCTCCAACCATAATAGCTGTATTGTGCGATAAATAAAAAAAAATCCTCCCTTTATAACTTTTGATCTAACGATCAGAACTTCACGTTCTAGGACTCAATCTTTATGGTTTGAGGGGGTAACCTCAAATATGCTAATTAATTAGTACAGACGATATTTTAAGTAACGAAATCAGACACAAAAACACACTTACTCGGAATAAACATACAATTTTTTCAACGGATTCCTATTTCTTAACCTCAAAATATAGAGGGTAGCAGTAATCTTAGAAATATGGTCTCCATAGTTCGGTCAGGAGAGCGTTCCAAAGTTAGGACCCCTAAATGTTAATTTTGCTTTTTGCGTATTTCGCTATATTTCGGGAACTTTTTTAGCAAATTGAGAAACTTTAGCACACATTCATAAAATTCGTTTATGCAAGGATAATTTCATGCAAAAATAAGTTTTAGTAATTATTTATTATTTTATTTAATAATAGTCGAAAAAAGCTTGAATTGTAAGGTGTGAAATTTTTTACGTCATTTGAAAAATATTATTTTTCAAAATTTGAGTTAAATCTATCGAATGGTTTCTGAAAAATCAAATTTCTAAAAAGTCGTATTCTTAAAATTAAATTTCTCAGGAACTGTTCGACCGATTTCACTCAAATTTTGTATTTTGCTATGCAAAATAATAGATTTTTAAAACGATGCAAAAAATTGCATACCTTACAAGTCTTATTTTTTTCAACTAAAATTAAATAAAATAATAAAAAATTATAAATATTTATTAAAAATATTTAATACAGGGAATTATCTTTGGATGAATAAGTGTTTTAATTGTTTGCAAAATTTTTGAATTCACTTAAAAAGCTCTCGAGATATGGTGAAATAAGCAAAATATAAATTAAACATTAAGAATTTCAAACTTTAGACCGCTCTCCGGATCGTACTATGGGGACCATATATCTCAGATTGAAGCTACTCCCTATATTTTGAAATCCAAATCAGCCTAGAAAATTTTTTGTTTGTTCAGTGGAATTTCGCTTTTACGACTGATTTTGCAACTTAAAATATCGTCGGCATTAATAAATTAGCATATTTGAGATTAGCGCCTGGAGAAATTAAGATTGAATCTTAAAACATGAAGATCAAATAAGATAATTATTAAGTCACAGAACGTGACGGTGCTATGATTAGATCAAAAGTTATTACGGGTGGTCCGTTTTTTATTTTGCACACTGTACATCCATGTCCAGGGTATGATAGGAAGCTTTATATAGTGGTCATGACATTTTGATTTCCAATTTTGGAGGCACAAAGGAATTTAATTTGGAAAATATGACCCTAATAGCTTATTCAAAGGATCTGTAATTGCAGTTTTACTTCTCTCTTATTCGCTATATCTTAACATTTCTAAGAGAATGAAATGTATTTTATGATGTCTCATTGTGGTAGCCACTATATAAAGCTTTCTAAATCGCTTTGACTAGGTTGTACAACTATGGTGGCTAGAGCGTCCTTCTATATGAATATATAGGTCCTTGGTTCGAATATTTCTCTCAGCCAACGAACTCTGCGCCCTCTTGTATTGTTGACAATAAGATTTCCCGACAACTTTCATAACGAAAAATGCTTATTTATTATATCCCCAATCATTTAAAAATTTGAAAGATATTTTTAAAGCAAATAAAATTTCTAAATTAAACGCGTAAAAAATTGCCTTTAATATATCATATTAACCAGATTGTGATAAATCTAAAGGCATGTTTTTGTGATAACTTGCTTTTTATCCTATTAAAAAATTATTAAAAAATTTTTAGCATCTGGTTTTGATATTAACTAAATTGTCATCATTCTTAAGTATTAATTCCATTGTCAAAACTGCTACTAAATTTTGGTTACTTTTTTTAGCACCACTAGCTCCAGACAAAAGAGTTTTACTGTCAGTCAATTCAAGTACGGTTACAGTCAATCTAAACAGCTGGCATAACGGTGGGTGTCCAATCAGGTTCTACGTTATCCAGTACAAAGTTAGTGGTCAGCATGAATGGACTTTGGTCAGCAACAATGTGATTCCAGAACAACAAACAGTTACAATCACTGATCTTGTGCCCGGTACTTGGTATTCACTTTTGATGACGTCAAAAAATGACGCAGGCTCAACTGATGCAGAGTACGTGTTTGCAACATTGACACTTTCTGGAAGTAAGGAATTTTGTTACTTTAATTACCAATTATAAAATGCATTTATGAAGGCATGATGTTCTTACAAAGCACTTTTTTGTTGTTATGAAGCACTTTAATTTTTTTTTTAAATGTTTATTCGATGAGCATCGCAGTTCTTAAAATCCTTCTAAATATTCCAAAAACGTACTATTTTTTACAACTGAAATTTCTTTATTCATCAAAGCACACTGGATGACAAAAGTACCTAAAATAATGGAAATTTTCATTTTGTTTCAACTTTTAAATTAAACTTTTAAAAACATGTCATTTCAGACATTATATACGGATAATCAGACATTAGGACATTAAATATTAGCATTCAGTGCATCCAAAAAAATGTTTAGAAGAAATGCCTACATACCAGGAGAAATAAATTCTGGTAAAATTATCGTAGCATATAGTAAAGACATTTCTAGTAAGAAAAACATATTTCTGGTTAATGAAACCATAATCGGTATAAAACCTTTTATTTAGAAATTCTTGCGTTCATAAGATGCCGGTTTATCAAAAATTCTGGTTTTCTGAATTATAGTTCTTAATACGACTTATTTAGTAAAAAAAATACAAAATTGAGGAGTAAATTAAACCGAATAAATGGTTTTTATGCCATGCTCTAAGGCAGGGGTCGGCAACCTGTTTGTCCTTAAGGGCGCAATACTAAATCTGAAAATCACAGAGGCCATATATTTTACAGATAATCAACAGGTATAAATAGGCATTGAAAAAAAGCAGATTTTTTATAACTTTATTTTGTTTGTGTCATACATAATGATACATATAATTCAGTGTGAAACTAGGGTGTCCATATTTTCAGCTAATTTCTTATAATTGGGGATATATTTAGAGTTCTCGGTCCTTAAACAATTATCTAAATGTGAGTCATTAAGCTTTGTTCGGTATTTTGATTTCAAATATTTCATATTTGAGAACAAAGACTCGCAATTGTATGTTGTTGCACAATATGAATAAATCTTTAGCGCACATTTCTTTAAAATAGGATACCTATTTTCATCGACTAAGTTCCAAAACATTTTATCATTACTATACGCTTTTAAAATAATATCGCTTTGCAAGTTTATTATTTCTAATTCTAGGTCTTCGATATTATGAAGCTCGAAATACACTGAAACTATTTCAAGGACATCATCTTTAGTAACATTGAATGGATTTATGAAAAATCTTAGAACGAGTTTTAATGATGCAAAATCTTCAAATCTAGAAGAATACTTTTCCATTAGCTTATCTATAATTTCTAAATATGATGTAGCAGTAAAATTTTCATTATTCAAATTTAAGCTCTCAACAGTATATTTTATATTTGGGAAATGTGATAATGATTTTTTCAATAGATGGGATTTCAACAACACTAACTTGCATTAGAATGCATTTACTGCACTAATCATGTCAGCGATATGCTGATTTTTCTCTTGCATTTTTAAATTTAATTCATTCAACTTTGCCGTTATATCTGTCAGAAATCCGAGGTCGATTAGCCAATCCTTATTTTCCAATTGCTCGTAAAATTCGCCTCTTGATTCAATAAATTCCTTTATTTGTGGCAAAAGCATGATAAACCGCTCAAGTATTTTACCTCTGCTCAGCCACCTCACTTCAGTATGTAAAAGAAGATCTGTGAACTGAACGTCCTCATCTTCTAAAAGTAATTTAAACAATCTGTGTTGCATAGCTCCCGATCTTATGGAATTAATAATTTTTGTTACTATCCTAAATACGGGTTGAAAACCGATTGTTTTTGCGCATAACATTTCCTGATGTATGAGGCAATGATAAGAAATAAATTTCGGGAATAAGGAATCCTGTCTACATAAGGCAATAAATCCTTTTTTCTTACCAGTCATCGCTGGTGTCCTGTCTGTTGTAATTGACAATAACTTTTGTACAGGTAATTTAACGTCTGTTATATACTTTTTAAAAGTAGAAAAGATATCTTCTCCTCTGGTGCTTCCCTTTTATGGCAGAACTTTAAGGAATTCTTCTTTTGTAAAATCAGAAAATACCATCTTCACGCAAATTGCTAATTGTGATATATTTGTCACGTCTGTCGATTCATCCATCTGTAGCGAAAAGAAAATACAATTTTCCATATAATTTGCTAATTCTGCCTCCAAATTCTCCGCAATTACTTCAATTCTTCTAGTAACAGTTCGTGCTGATAATTGCAACGTGTTTATAGCTGAAACTATTTCCTTTTTATTTCTAAATTCTTCAAAAAGTGAATCAGCAGCTTCTACCATGGCTTCTTTCACTAATTCTCCATCTGTAAATGGTTCTTTATTCTTAGCTAGCAAATGCGATATTTTATATGACGCGATCATTGCTGCTTTATGTTGTTGCAGTGGTTTAGTAAAAAAACTTTGCTGGTTAGTTATTGAAGATTTTAAAGAAAAATTTTTTTTCTTCTAATTTCGGAGTTCATTGGATAGTCACTATCAAAATTGGTATGAACGGTCTCAAAATGTCGTTCAATATTACTTTTCTTTCGAATCGCAACACTATTATTACACAACAAGCAAATACACTTCCCTTTGTAAACAACGAAACAATATAGATGTTCCCATTCATCGTTAAAATAATATGTTCTTTTTCTTTTACATTTATCCATGAAGGGTGCTAAAACACAAAAAACTAGAGCTATAACAACTCTATTTTAAAAAGAAACACAACGTTATTAAACTTAACAACATTTATTATTTAAAACATAACGAAAGCATTATACCAAAGATAAACAAACAGAAGGGCAGAATGGGAAAGCTTCTGAGGAAGGCCCAGGCCTACAAAGGGCTGTTGTGCCAATGCTGATGATGAAACAAACAGAAGCTCAAACATAAAAGCAAACTGAAACCAAAACGGCAAGTTACAATACAGTCACAGTTAACCTAGCTGATGCGTCAGAAACTACATCAGTGGCGAAACTAGATCACCCATCCAAACTAGATCACTGTTTAATTTAGGATCCAGTTCATCGCTTTCAACAAAGGGTTTTGAAAGAAAAGAATTATTTCGGATTACTTGGTAGTTTTAAAAGCACGGTCTACGCTTGGTCTATTCGAAATACGATCACACACTAACAAAAAATACGTGCTTGTTATTAGATACGCTCAAGGTTAGCAAACTGCTAATCTATGCACAATTCTAAACTCAACTGACTACTTGCCATTTGACAAGAGTAAGTAAATCGCTCTGGCTATCATACATTTACATTAGTCCAGCAAAGGCGCATTAAAAATCGCTTGGGGGCGCCATGGCGCCCGCGGGCGCCGCGTTGCCTACCCCTGCTCTAAGGTATCATAATAAAATTAAAAATTTTATCGCATGTACCAAATTTCGTAACAAATTACATAACCACATTTTATTGTTAATTTTACTAGAATCGTTACGAAAACGCATCGAAAAAATTGCAGAGTTTTTTTAGTATTCCTATGGAGCTAAAAACCATTTCGTTGTCCATACTTTTTTCTTAAGGTATTGTTTGACCAGTGATAATTTTTGTCCAAAAAAATTTGCATGAAATTGTACATTTAATTTCAAATTACTAATTTCGTTTTCATAAAACTGATCGTAAGATATCTGATTATCGTTCTTAAACGTTACAATGAAAAGCAAACAAAATATTCGACAAAAATATTTTGAAAACCATGTGAACCCTTTATAATTAAAGTACGCAGGTTGGTGAGCACCACAGAAATAAATAAATTTATGATGAGCACCACAATAATAAATAAATAAATAGAATAAATGAAATTTGCATAAAAGCGATTGAGCAATTCAGTATACTAAGAAATAATTAATTTTTTATTTACACACCCTTCTCAGAAGAGTTTGGGCAGTTGGCTCATCTTAGCTGGAAATACAGTCGAAATTTTATTTCTCTACCATTATTTGTCTCAAGAACAAAATGCTTATGAGGCATTAGTTGTTAACATTCCGTCTTAGATACTTGTGCATTTATTACTTTTCTGAAATGGATTTGCGAATTTAAAGTTCAAAGCAATGTAAACTTTTAACTATTTTTCAATGAACATACCAGATAATTGCAATACATTCTTAGTTTGCCACAAATAACTGTCTCCGCGCAATGTTTTCTTTTGATAAATGGAATGAACTGCAAAAATTTTCGGATCAAATTACGTTAAAAAGCACCGACACGCTGGGTGCCACTACGTTTTACCGTGAAATCTCTTTTTACTGGAACATGTTAGGGAAAAAAATGATGTACCGTAATTAATGCAGGAATAATTACCGTAAAACCACTTACTCACTCTAATTAAATAAATATTACTTGAAAAATTTACTGTAGAATATTTTACAATAAAAATGGATTTAATGGTAAAAATGATTTTACGGATGATGCTCCCAAGCGCCCGTTTATTACTCTGTAATTAGATCCGGAATTTTTTGCTTGTATCATTAAGTAATCTACTTCAACTTTTAATCTAATTAATAACTTTTTATCCAATAAATAGATTTTTATATAGGAACTGAATTCATATATTAATAGTTTGAGAAAAGGTTCATTAAATAGGATTTCTAATGAGGTAAAATAAATTATTAAATTACGGGATTCCATACACAATCTACATGCTTTTACATACAAGGTAATCTTGCGGAAGGTTATTTCTTGACCTGCAAAGTATATTGAAGTAGATTGAGTAGCTAGTCTCAGTGTAGAAAGTAGGTTCCCAGATTAGTATAGTTATGTGAGTCGTTTGAAAATAATGTCTAAATCTTTTCCTCAAAAAATTATGAATGTATTTTAATACGTGAAAAGTACATATTTATCGTATATCCACCAGTTTGCAGTCACTTCAGTTCTTTTTTAACCACAAACTAGAGCTCCATAAGCGCTAACACTCTTTTAAACTGATTTCGTCGTCACGTTCACCCTCCTTGGTGTTTAATTCGCGGTCAAGAAAGGTCACTCTGAGATCTGAGGTCATTCTTCAAAGATTTAGAACGCTGAGTCGTCTGAAAAAGACTGCTTAAAGAATTCAAGGCTGTTAAAAATCTGTTTTAAGTTTTTAGCTTAGCAACTACGCATAATCACTGAAGTTTCCAAAATTTAACTTGCCAGTGTAAATTAATATTGCATTGCTAAATGGCCTAAAATAGTATCTTTTCCTTTGAAAACTCAAATATTTTAAAACCGCTATTTATAACTTATACCATTGAGCCGCGATGGCTCAGGGGATAGAGCGTTCGCCTTGCAACGAGGTCAACCGGGGTTCGATCCCGGCGATGCCTGGTCGATACGAATTCCGCATCCGGCTTGCAGTGACCACAGTGCTGACGTGGAATATCCTCAGTGATAGACGGATCATGAGTTAGAGTCCCCTTGCCGTCAGGCTAACAGTGGGAGGTTCTCGTGTTCGTCCTCTCCATATAACGCAAATGCGGGTTAGTTCAATCAAAAAGTTCTCCACGAATGCAAATTCCTCCCAATACTTGATCCAGGAGTTCCCCTGTCTTCTGGATTGGGTTCAAAATTACAAGACTATGGAGTTGAACTTCAGTAGTCGTAAACCCAAAAATTGGGTCGGCTGTACAACGACGGTTATAAAATAAAATAAAACTTATACAATGGATCTATTATAATATTTATCTTTATTCTTTTCATGCTGTTTATTTTTTAAGCAAATTTCCTGTTTTTGTTTTAACAGAATTTCCTCCTCGATTATCAGAAAGAAATGATTCACCTGCCTCATTCTTTCGCCACTTGACTATTACGGTACCTGTTGTCAGCTCTATAATCGTTCTTCTCTTTGTTATTTGTGCAGTTTGTATTATAACTAAAAGGAGATCTCCAAGATGCCGACCACAAACTCATAATGGTAAGTTAAAATTGTGATATGCTATTCAATTATTTATCTTATATTTCATTAGCTTATTGTTGCATGTTAATGGTAAATTAAAATAAAATGGAAAAAAAATTAAATTGCATTTGTTTGAAAAGTAAAAATTTTGGATATTAAAAGAAATATATACATATTTTTGAAACACAAATATTTTTTAAATAAAAAAAATACTGTTTGCGAAACAACTTGTTTCTATAAATTATAAATAAATTAATCCTGTTCTTCCGTTTTCTTATGCCAGGAATAAAATTTTGTCCTAAACCCCACATGATCGTAATACGCTTTTTAAATAATTAAAATTCGAAATTGCCGAGTTTATGATAATTTTAAACTAATTTAAATTTTGATGTAAATTTGTAACGGAAAACGATAGTAATGCGCAATTTGCCAAGTTTTGCTACATAAACGAAATCTTATTCACATCAATGATAAGAATTATTCATAAAGTTTGCCAACAGGTGGCGCTACTTATTGGAAAAGCCAATCAAACAATATTTTTAGAACGAATACTAGTTGCAGAACAATTGTGTGGTGCACCAGTGTAAAAGACAAAAATAACGTACGCCCATACCATTATATCAGCTTGATTCATTTCACTTGCAAAAGGAAAACACAAATTCATGCATATTTTGTATCAGAAGGCACTGACTTTAAGATTTGGGGGGAGCAAATATAAACAATGCTCTTTCCATTTTTTTTTCATTAGATGAGTTTTCGAAATCTTAATAATTCCGGGAGAATTAGTAATACAGTACTTGCATACGTTCTAAAGTAAATGTACATGCACAAATATGACGTATCTGGCGGCAAGTAGGAGCAGTTACTTTATGAAACATGCGTACAAACTATAGTGCTAAACCACACGTATGAATTTCGTAGAATGGGATTTTTGTTTTGATGTTAATTACTGTCTGTATACGCATGCGTACCTGAGCAGTTTTAGACCCAAACAAGTCTAGAAAAATGCAACCCACGGAGAAGAAGATCTAATGAGTAATAGGTAATTAACATTGTCTATTATACTTACGATTGAACCTTGGTGGGTCAGGGGATAGAGCTCTCGCCTTCTAGTGAGGTGAACAGAGGGCGAATCTCAGCGATGGCTTGTTGGTTCGAATTCCACACAAGGATCACACCGACCACAGTGCTGACGCAAAATAACCTCAGTGGTAGACGGATCGAGGATTATAGTTCCCTTGCCGTCAGACTAACCGTGAGAGGTTTTCGATGTTTTCCACTCTATGTAACGAAAATGTGGGTTAGTTCCATCAAAAAGTCTTCCTCGAAGACAAATATTTCCCAACAGAACCCAGGAATTCCCTTGTCTTTTGGATCGGGTTCAAAATTGCAAGGCTACGGTGTTGAACATTGGTAATCATAAATTGAAAATTGGGTTGGCTAATCAACGACGTTTATAAAATAAAATATAATCATTATTTTACATACATACGACTTATCCATGCATTATGCAATAGACGCAATATGTAAGAGTAAAATGACATAGAATAGCATTATACAAAATTCTCTATTTTACAAAAATAATTTACAGCCTCTTCAAGTAAAATAATTTAGCCATAATTCATTTTAATCCATTCTTTCGTAAGAGATTTGTTCATCATAAATCTTACGTTTTATGGCTTAAAAAATTTGCATTTTGAAATATGAATACCTTGGAGATATAACTCGTGCTAAGTTTATCATTTTTTTTTCGTTTCTTAGGCTCAGATAGCAATAGTACTTTAAAGCATGAAAATATTCCTCTTTCAACAAATTATGACAATGCTCAAGAACCTGCTTACTATCCCATTCCATATGCAACTGGTAGAGTTCAAAATTACGACAGAGATCATTACACAACAGCAGGCGAAGCTAATCAACAAAATCATGGCACAATAGGCAGCACAAGGAGTAGTTATTTATACAAATCACCTGCTTCACCGAGAGCAGTGAGTATGGGCAATTTTTTTAAACTTATAAGCTAAATGAAGCTTAAGAAAATAAGAAAATTTTATAAGTTAGTTTTTTGGTAAATAAAATTTTTTATTCCTAGGTTTTTACTTAATTATTTTACGAATTAGACGGTAAAAATTTATCTTACTTTTGAAAACCTTATCGGAATGTATAATGCAATTATACATTCCTATAATTAGTTTTATTTTCCTGTCATAAAGTTCTAGTGACATATTTTTTTGCTCTTACTTTACATCCTTAATTTTCAATTTTGTTTTAAATAATCGAAATAGCTTTTGATTGCTTTGTAGAACGATTGTTTCTTCATACCATTTTACACTCTGTTAGAATTTTCTTCTAAAATTTTGGCAAAAAAACCTGCAGCAGTCTGTCCTTCCAATAAACCATAAAGTATACCTTGAAGATCATTTTTACCCTTACGGTCTTGAAACCGAAATTCTTCATGTGTTGAAAGGAATGGAGGAGAAACTGTAGTGTCTAAGCTGGGACTTGATCCCCAGCTCTGTCGGTCAAGGGACTGGCAGATTAACCTTCTCCGCTGCAGTAACCCTTTCGGCACAGTAAAATAAACGGAAACAGTCTGAACATCGAATTAACCTTAAGGTTTACGGTAAAGAAAATTTTTTACCTTTTAATTTTGAAACCGTTTACAACTAAAACTCACAAATCAAAGCTATAGGGTTTTCAATCCATTTACAATTAGCCTGGTTTCGAAATCATAAAAAAGAAACTTAACTGGACATTGAAACTATGTTTTTCACTAGTTGATGAGCATTTGGATACAAGTCGTTGTTAAGTTCCTTTGAACAGCTTTATTATTGCTGTTGAACAGTTTTATGGGACTGACATCTATTGGTGAATGAGAGTATCGTATTTTAATAGCCCATGGTCAATAATCGAGGAGGACACTTAAATCTCTTCAAGCGTTGAAGGGCATAGAGGAAATATCTTGTGGTGTCATAGCCGGGACTCGAATCCTCGTTCTGTCTGTCGTGATAATAACAAATTAGCTCTCTCGACTGGGCAGTAATATATTCCCTGCTGTAAGGAACCTGCTGTAAGTAACTTTATTAGGTGGGCTTAGTTGATGCTATAAAATTCTGGTTGTCTAACTGTATTAGGGGAAAGCGGTTCATAAACGGTTTATTTATGGTTGACTGAGTTTTTTGTAGGAATATGGCAAAATAACTTTTAAATACATTTTTATTTATCCATTGAAAAATTTCTGACAGTGTATTTTTACTGAACTATTTCGATGTATTTTTGACTTTTTTCAAAAAAACTGTTAACAGACGTTTTCTCCTAATGATTTTATTTTTAAACTAATGATATGCTATAGTTTTTTTTCAAACTAAAAAATCTCATTTTTGATGAGAATTATATGAACTCTGCTATTTTCAGGCGGAAAAGAAGGAATGTATTTATGCTACCCCATCAATAATATCAACAAATCAAAATACAGGTATAAAACTTAACATATTTCTATGCGTGCATTTTAACAAAAACAAAATTCGTACAGATCTTAAGTTTTGTATAAGTATATGGTTTATAAAATCTTTAAAATCAGTTATTTTTTGTTACCATAAAGCCTTCTTCGAGAATTTTAATTAAATCCCTTCAGTGTTTATGATTTTCCTGAATTATACTTATGGAACTTTAATGGTTGGTTTCAAACTTAGTTATAATTTCAATAGTGATTAGACAAATTATGAAATAAATAGTAAAATAAATGCCCCATGTGAAATTTCTTATAGACAGTTTTGATGTACGCAGGAATGGAATTAAGGATGCGCCAAGAATACGTCATTTACGAAGCTCCAGATAGAGATAGGAGCTTATTTTATGAAGATAAACTTTGGGTGCCTTCTTACAACGGGTAAGTCTCTTTCATTTATAAATGCGATAGATGAAAAAAGATAATTTATATTACACGTTATGTGTGTACAATGAATGCTATAATATGTGAGAACAAATTGTAATAGATATAATTTATAGTCCACGTTATATGAGTACAATGAATGTTATAATATGTGAGCACAAATTGTAATCAAGGAATAAATTTGTGAGGGGTGGAGTTAACGACTATGCCAACCTTCATCTATCAACTGGTACCTCAAGATTGATTCAAGTTTAGGCTTAGGCTGAGATGTAGTACGAAGTACCTGCCCGCAGAGCGGACACTCCACTTCTTCGTCTGTATTGAGGCCCGTGGGCAACTAGAGTACTGTGTTTGTAGCAATAAAAACAAGGAAATAGCAGAAGCACTGATTGACGTAAGTTTATACTTGTTGTCGTGCTTATAAAAAAGGAACAAGTTAGGTATAATACTAGGGGTGGATACTCCCGAGTCGGCGATCACATGAAGGTCTCTGGGAGTATCCATAGTTGGATGAGGGGAGGGGATATATTATTTGTAGTGCCTTGAAGGAACACAATCTGATGATAGGAATGACGTTATTGGGTTATTGATTCAAGTTTGCACATCTTATATACTAGTGAATTCATGTTTAATTTTCGTAGTGGTAGTTACGTCACAAAGTATATAGTTTTTCACAATACCGAATAAAAAGAAACACAGTTTTAAACCTACATATTAAAATTATGTAGCGTTTCAGATGCCTTGCGATTATTGTAGATGTAACAAAAACTGTCTCCATCCATATAATTTATAGTACACGTTTTATGTGTATAATGAATGCTATAATACGTAAGCACAAACAGTAATCAATGATTATTTAATTCAGTTTTTTACAGTACCCAATAAAAAGAAACATTGCTTTAAAACTACATATTAAAACTGTGTTTTAGATGACATAACAGGTATTTGTAACTGTTACTGAAACTGCCTCCAACCATTGCTAGGGAATCGAAATATACGGAATTCCTTTATTTTAAGTAAAAAAGTTAAAACTTTTTTTTTAAATATTTGATAAACTTATAAAGTAGAATTATGGATCTTTTAAACATATGTTTAAAATTTTGAGTTGGAAAAAATATTTACCAATTATATTATCATTTGCTGAAAAACATTGTTTTATTTTGACTACGGTTTTAGTAGTTTTTGCTTTCGTGTTTCTGATTGTAGAACATTTAAATTAAAGTTTTAGCAATTTTTCGACTAGCTAGGACAATAAAATCTCATCTAGAGGTAGATTGCTGATGATGATTCAAGTTTTTGTCAATTTTTTTTACCTTTGGAAAATTAAAATATCAGCCTGTTACATCTAAAACGAATTTACTGCTAATTTATATATTGATCACTTTAAAGAAATGTAAAATGCCCAAATTTTAAATGAAATTCTGTGCCTCATATGAAAGTTTTAATCATTTCTTGCAAAGACAAAGGAAGTATAGTAAAATCTACCTGAATATGGCAGAATTTAAGTTGTTTCGGGCTTTATGGAAACACCATAAATCTAGGTAATTTTGATAAAACATGATGATTTTGATAAAATTAGCAATAAAATATGGTTTTATAATCTTCGTTAAAATTTTACAAATGTGATGAAATTTGTTAAATTTATCATGATTCTTTGGAGCATAGCATAAAAACTATTTATCCGGTTAAATTTATTTTTCAGTTTTGCGTTTTTACTAAGTGTGTGCTAATTAGAGCTATTATTTTGAAAACCAGAATTTCAGGTAAACCGTTACCATATCATTGGAAAATTTACCAAACGAATAGTTTTGGTTTTATTTACCAATTAATAGGAGTCATGCATACTATTTACCATACAGTACGGTAATGTTACAAATTCTTTTTCTCCTGTGACATCTAACAGCAGAACCTATTTGTCTTATTATCGACAACGATAATTTAACTTCAAACAAAATTTTCAATTTCTGTTGATTAACTAGAGCACTTAAGTCATAGCAAATGTTCTTTTCTAAAGTACAATATAATTTTTAACCGCCTCTGACCAATATAAGCAGAATTTATCTCGTAACAGTTACCAAAAAGGTCTTTTCAAGCTTTCAAATTTTGACCATAATCCAAATCTATATTTAGGATTCTGAAATCCCCATTGTTGCATTGCGCATTTAACTATATTTCGAAATCTTATTATTGTGTCACAGTTTCCCTTGTTGTCCGTGTATTTTTATTGGCCGGAAAATCACGTGGTACCATCCGGTTTTTTCTCATTCATTTCCATATTGTTTTAGTTGTCTTCATAAAATTAATACTCATAAAATGTCTTCATAAAATTAAGTCATAAATTTGCGGCTTTCTATAATTGTTTTTCTATCCCTAATTTAAAATTATTTCCCCGTACTGCTATTATTATGCTTTTAATTTAAGAGTTTAAAATTAAGAGAATTCTTGCTTCTTTTTATTACTATTATTATAACGTAATTATGCGCTACATTTTAAGATAAAGTTATTTAGAAAGGTGGTCTAATCTTTTTAATCACTTTACAAATATTATTTTTCTGTGCAAATAACATTATTATACTGTTATAAATTACAATTAAAGAGATCTGTTAAATGATTTAGAACTTAACGATTAGCTTTATGCACAATGAGAAGCACGCGAAAATAGTATTTAACATATCAGCCGTTTGTATAAGCAAAAATGTTAAATTACAATAGTGAACTCATCAAATTTGCTTGAATGATATAATGTTATAACAATATAAATGATTCAAGATAGATCAATAGCCAATAGATCCAAAATACTAATAGATAATAATATTTGGATGTAGGGGGTGGAGGCACAAGCGTAAACAAGCAGAATTCCTTTCAGTACAAATATGTTAACTGAATAATTTCATCTTTAGTAGAAAAACTGTTTTCGGCCAAGAAACAAAAATTATTGCGAAGCAATCGCAGGGGTTGATGAGAAGCAGCGAACAGGGTCTTAGCTCCCTAGTAGTTACAAATCAGACTTCAATCTCTTTTTAATTGTTACAGGAAAATGCAGTACTATTTTATTTCAAATAAAAAATTTGACCCCTTTTTTATGTACTTAAAAATCTTTGTTTCACACGCAAAGTAAAAATGGAGAGAATACTTTAAATTTTTCAGAACTCTAACAAAACATCACTTTTTGATAACTTCTTTTATTATCAAATATCCCCCTCCATTGTTTGGAAGTGATGAGCCTTACATTTTCTGTTTTACGTCTGATAAAAAGAAAAACATTTTCCATTTTAGATTGTTTTATCTAGATGTCATATTATTACTATATCGCTTTGATGTTTGAGTACATATTTTTTGTTATTTTTCTATTTGTTTTTTAGATATTTTTATTTTCAATCGAATTGTTTAATACTAGTTTTCCTTAGGTGTCTTTAATATTTTGTAATAATTTTGACAGGTTTTTAAAAGTAGAACATGTTTTAACCTTGCTTGAATTCTTAAGTACTTGAATTATTATAACGGCATTATATTTAATGAAAAATTTTTTTTAATTTTTGATTTCAGTATGTCTTAATGGCATGTATTTTTTTTAAATGCATTGCATGTCTTATCTAGTGAAACTGTTTTCTTCCTTTAGTTTAATTATTCAATAAGTTCTTTTTCCCTCAGAAATTCAAGTACTGAATCAGAGAATGAAGCTGCTTTATTTTCATTACACCCTTCTGAAGAAATAGATTTCCCAGAAGAAACTAGAGAATCTGAAACAGAGTGTGACAGACTATGTAAGATTTGCGAAAATTTATATTTTATGATGAGTTACCCCCAAAACTATCACCAATAGAAACTAAAGAATCTGACCAGTATAGACAGACTATGAAATATTTACGAAAATTTATATTTAAAAATTATTATTTAAATTATTATAATTATCTATATAATTATTATAAATATATTTCATTATAAATTATCATTTGAAATATATCCGAAAAATTTATTTGAAAAAAACCACATTAGTTCGACATATGTAATTAAATAATCATAACAAACAGAAGCGGTGAGATATTACTTCAATAAATGACTTCATTCGCTTCAAAATTTTACGGGTTGGAGACAACAGTGGACATGTTTTAAGTACTCAAAAGTAAGTGCCAATTTTTAAGACTTGACAGATCTGAGTGCAAATAAAGAAAGATCAATATTCCTACAATGTGCAGCAATAGAGAAAAATTCATGAATTTCTGCTCATTGTTGGAATTGGGGGATAAATTTAATTTCGACGATACCAAAATGATTTCCAACCCTGTTACATCTGCTCATCTTGATGCACTGAAACCTCGTTTCATTCATATAAATGCCGATTACCACGCTAACGACAATACTTCCTCACCAACTCTACATAGTGCGTGGAAATGCATTTTTTTTTACTGATTTGCTCCTCCCAGTCTCAATGGTTTTTGATTCGGCATTCTCTTGTTTGTTTTTAATCTCAATTAACTACTCAAAACTTTGTAATTTTGCTACTCGTCTTTCTTTTTTCCATTTTTGTTGTCAACTTTAAGTTTTCTATTTCAAATCACTTCCGTTTCTTCACATTCATGTCTGGCAAGTCTTAAAAATGGTGCCTATTTTTGAGCTTTAGAAACATGATGACTGATATTTCTAATTTGAATACTTTTAAAGAGAATAAAGTTTTTTAGTCAATGAAAACTTCGATGACTGATTACAAAAGAATATATTAAATGGAATTCTACAGTTATTTTAATCTGAAACTTATTTAATAAATTTATACTAAAATTTGAAAGTGCTCAAGTTTAAATTAAATTTTGGAAATAAATTCATATTTTTCTGTTATATTAAAAATAATTTTTGATCGGAAATTATCATTGAAAATATATCTAAGAACTTTTTATAAAGAACAATATCACTACAAATTTATGCGTGATTATAAAAGAATATGTTATATGTAAGCTGAAATTCTATCCTATAGTCATTTTGGTCATTATAGTCATAAGATATTAAGTTTAATAAATATTTAGATTTTTAATAATACCGAAGTGCTCAAGGTTAAATGCATAATATAGAAAATAAAATCATAATTTTTCTTACATTGAATTGTATTTTAAATTAGATGGCATATGTTTCCAGAATTTTAAATAATTTCAACAAATAATAGTTTATTATAGGTTATTTAGAATATATTAATAACTGTTTAAACTAAATCTACCGCATTGTGTTAAATATGTGCGAAAAATATAGTTTTAATCTAATCTGCAAATGTGGAAAGCAAAACTCATTTAGACTTGACATTTAATTCCTTTTTACGTTTATTAATGAACATTATCAACTTTATTGTTCATTGTAAATAGTTTCATTAAAAATATAGTTAGCCAAAGGATAATAGAGTGAAATAACACAAGGTTAAAAAATTATAATGAATCCATTATAAATTAATAATATTTAATAGCCTATCTAAACATTCATTTCGTACATTTTTAAGCATATTAGATAAAAAATTAAAAAAAAGATTAATGGTGTTCGTAATTTCAAATGAATTTTATTTTATATATGGGTACAGATTGTTATAGATACTTAGTTAAAAGGTTTCAAAAATTTCATAGGTGAATTATTAGTAATAATCGTGCATTAGCATGAATCGAAACGAATGAATCGCTTAGAATGAATGGCTTAGAGCGAATGTCTATTCATTTTTTCTTGATTAACATATTGTTGATTAACTTTCACCTATAATTTGTATTATAACCGTCTTTGATTAGCCGACCCAATTTTCAGTCTAACGACTAACAATGTTTAACTCCACACTCTTGTAACTTTGATCTCAATCCAGAAGACTAGGGAACTCCTGGATTAAGTATTGGGAGAAATTTGTCATCGGGGAGGACTTTTTGATGGAACTAACCAGCATTTGCTCTACATGGTAAGGAAAACCTCCTGCGGTTAGCCTGATTGCAAGGGTACTCTAAACCATGATTCGTCTACCATTGAAGATATCTTACGTCAGTACTATGGTCGGTGCGAGCCTGTAATTGTATTAGATAAATTCAGAATTTTGATGCGGCATCTCACTTTTTCACTTACTTATTTTTTTTTAACAAGAAAAGAAAGCAAAGCACAGTACACACGGAAGTGCAGGTGTTGTTTCCGACTTAAAAAAACTAAATCTCTTTATTATTATTGATTTTCAGCTGTCTCACTTGTATATACTTTCCGTGAATTATAAAATGCTTTGTAATAGAAATAACATTTTTCGTACATTATGAAAAAGAGTATTATGTTATTCATTTAAAAAGAGAAAAATTCTATTGTTTTTCTGATTAAATATGTCTGATATATCACAGGGAAAACATATGAAGTTCCATCATGTCAAAAAATTAGCAGATGGGAAGAAGGATTTCGTGTTCTGATAAATTTCATAGCTGTGAGTAATTGTAAGTAAAGTTAAAATACTCTTAATTTAAATTGTACATATTTAAATATTTTACATTGAATCGTTAATATATGCAACAGAAAGATATAGATATACAATAGATATACAATAGAAAAGCAAACAAGAAAAATATTTGTTTTTTGCTTTAAAAGCTTAATCTCAAATCAAAACTTACTTTTAATTTTGATTTTTCATGAACCCTACGATGATTGCATCGTAATTTCAAATTTTGTTATTCAATGTTTTTTTTTCTCATTTTACCTTACAATGAAAAAAAACCAGCATATTTTAAATTAATAGCTAGGCGAGCTAATCTACTTAATCCTTAACCCAGTAAATTAAATAATACAACTGTTTAAGAGTCTATTTTTATACCACTTTCGACAATAATTAAAAGAAAACATAAATGTAGGATAATTTATAAAATAAAAATATCAATTTTGAAAGTACAGGAACAGAAAGCTCATAATAGAGAAAAGCTTCTTGTTGCCAACGATGACTTTTCCGGCCATGGGTAGATATACAATTTGGATCTTGTAGCTGAGCACATTGATGCGTCTAATCACGTGGTTGTTCATGGGGTGTTAACGTTTCAGCTTTAATTACATATCTGCAAGCGATATCACACTTGAGTGTTGATCCACGCATGGCATTGCTTGCAGGTATCCAATTCTCGGTCCGTATGATGTGTTCAAAATCCTTCCTTTTAAAAATTGTAATCTCCCTGCATATATTTAAAGCAAATTCTTTGATTCTGATTATAAGAGTATCCTTCTAAATCGGACGCACCACCGCTGCTGTTTTATGTGATCAAATTTGCGTTACATATTATTGCTTGGTGATGAATTTTACGCTGTTCTTTCTTGTGCAGAAACTGTAAGACTTAAAAGCGCATATATATATAATAGTGCATATATAATATTGTATAAAAATTGTCCAAGGAGAACGATGGAATAAAAAAAACCTGACACATGACATTTTGTTTTAAAATTTTTAGTTCTTTAAATTGAAGTAAAAATTGCCACGCTAACCACGCCAGCGAAGCTTCGTTATAGCGAAGCTTCAGAGTTAAAGTTTGATAAGTTGAAGTAGTCAATTCAGTTGATGAATTTGGCATTGAGTTTTTCTAAATTCTATGTTTTTCGAATGTTTCGGTATTTAAAAAAAAACTTCTCCCTTGTTCCTTAAAGCAATGATTATATAGTGTTAGCTGTTGTTGTTGTTTCTAATGCCACTTGCCACACTAGCAAGCCTGATGGTGCGTTTCTTGTTTTTCAGTGGCGCCATTTATGACCAATAATTTGTCTTCAGCCATAAGTGATAGCTGTAATTCTAACTTGTCTCGTAAAATATATATTGTATAGTATTATTATTAATTAGTTGCTCTATATATTATTAGGTGTAAGAGGGTATTATAAGTTATTTATCTTTCGAGATTTTTATTTTATAAGAAAGCTCTTTTTGTTTCAGCTGAAAGTGAAGGAAAGGATTGCCATAGACGGGGTTACCATAATGTAAACACCGTTTATCACTGTTTTTATTTGCCGACTTATTTCAAAAATACTTTGAATAGTTAATTATTGCACTCATTGCATTGTCAATCATAAAAAAAGCGATACTTGTTTTCAAAACAAACCTATCAGGAAAAATAACGAAATCATTTCTGAATAAAAACTGAGAGCAACATGTTAAGCAAGACAAGATTCTTTTCTTTAAATTATTACGTTTACTACTCAGTCTATAACTAGATTGACACATTCGAAATTTATTTTATATTTCTAAATTAGCAGGGGGAAATAAATGTTTTGCAATACTGGAATAACACGAAAAAACTATCATTCAATTTTCGTCGTAAATTTGATATTAACTGAATCAAATATGCTTATTACGAAGAAAGGCTGATTTTTTTGTGAAACAATCATACGTAAAATTAAAGTCGAGAAATATAAGCTTCAAGGTCACACATATTATTTATGAAAATAACAAATAGTTGCATTTAAGTGCACATCAGGATTTTTCTAAATTTAAGAGCAAAAAATAAAGAGACACACAATAATGCATCATTGGTTATGATAGAATAAAATATGAAAAGGGATACATTTCAGTTCTGTATTATTATAAAACAATTGTTGGTGCTAAGGAATGAAGCAAGCAGGGATCTCGAGGTTCTTTTGAGATTACGGAAACAGATAAAGATTGCGGTTCCACATAAAAGATCAATTCCAGATTTCTTTCATTTCAAATTGCAGGATCAAAAAAGCACAGTAATAAATACATCAAACCATGAATAGAACAAACATAGAGAGAGAAAAAAAACAAAGAACAAGCAAAGCAGCTTTAGCTATAGTGTGGAAATCCCAAAAGCCCCTGGCCTCCCAATAGCTGTCTAAAGGAGAATGTTTGATTAATGTTTGATGTCAGAGGGTTGTCCCTGAATACAGAGACTGCAGATAGGACTTGAAGCAATGCAGAAATGGTGCAAGTGCCTTGGGAGACAGTCATGACTAGTGGAAATCCTAAACTCAACCACCAAATCAGTTCCCGATAATATTATTAGAAACTCTGCAAAGATCCCCCAAAAATATAATATTAGATATTTGTTTCATTTGTGTCGAACTCAGATAGATTAAGGTTGGTCGTTTAAATGAATGTTTTAATTCCCGTTACAGTTTTGATTTTACAGATTTTGTTTTTATGTATTTTTTTTTACAGATCTCACCATCTTTATGAAGTTTTGAATGTACAACATGAGTCAGAAAGAATATGGAACTGTGACGTCAACGCAATTCTCCGTGGATTCTGTTTTGAGTCCCGTGATTCCCTCTCTGGTGCAAAAAATAACTTCTAGTTTTATTTTGGGAAAGAAATATTCATTGTATCACACTTGACTGTTACTATTCGTGGAAGATGTGATGAAATTTTATAAATATATCCTATCGCCATTTATGAATGTACATATTTTTGTTAAATTAATTATTTGATTAATAAATCCATTTTCGCAACATGTATTTATATTTTGTACTAATGTTTGTGATAAATAAGTTTATATGTATTCATCTGAATGAAAATTTGCTATAAATAAAAAGAAAGTTTTATTTGATATTTTTCTGAATTGTTTTTAAAATGGAGAAAAAAAGTCTGTGTAAAATATATAACGAGTAACTCAATGACTAAACACTTTAAAATTTCGCATAATACTTGGTTTCGCTGAATATTTACAGTAGCTAATGAAATTTATAGTTGTCAGATTATCTCACTTTTCAATCTATATTAGATTTTTTTTCCTTCTCTATCAAAAATGTATGTGCTAAATTAGCCTTTTTGGTTTCAAAATATAAAGTTATAGGCAAAATGTCAATCCCAAAGTATTCCTCAAAAAACTTTTGTACTTAAATTTCATGGTATACGTTGCGCCGAGACATCATATGACACTTGTTATTGGAAATTTACTGTGGTGTCATGTTTGACGATTTTATAGTTTTGCAAACGTTAATGTATCATAAGGATTTAAGGTATCATGATAAAATTACCATATTTTGCATTATTTAGAAAATTTTATAATACATTATAAAACCATACTTTATCATTAATTTTATCAAAATCACTGACAAAGAGCTTCAACAAAAATTACCAAACTTTTAAGTTCTCTCATGGAGCAAGAAGCACGAAAAGTTTCACCATATTTTGGTAGCTTTGAGAATGCTTTTTTCTCAGTATAAATACAATCGGAGAAAAATTATTAGATTTATTGTACCGTCCTGCACTTAAGAAAATTTCGCCCCAATTTTTATACTTGCGTAATGCAAAACTTTTAATAAATAACATTTGGCTTTTCTTAACTTCATTGCATATATTAAATATGTTATGAAGTTGATTGAGACTGTATACTAAAGTTTGTTAAATTAAATAAATATTTTTTGTAGTTATAAAAATCATCTTCTGTTAAATTTTCGAAATTTTTTAATGAAATTAATGGAAACATATTTTTAACATGAATATATAAGAGCGTATTGTTTAAGCAGAACTAAAATGCGTGCATGCAGAATTACTTAAATAGAATACAATTCGTATATGATTTTAACCTATCTGGCAAATTTCCAATCAAATTTAGTAAAAGAAAATGTTAAAAATAAATCGCAAATATTAAGTTTGAAGTTAAATAAATCAGCTTTATCGCAGTTAAATATCGTGCTTACAGCAATTTATTAATATCTGTAATACTATACTTCATTATACTAGTTTATAAGTCTAGTTTAAGGTCAACCTACTTATTATCTGTATAATCTATAGACAAAAGTACGGCATTTAAATGAGCATAAAATTCTTATATCTAGCTATAATTCTAAGAAGATAATATATCTTTTCATTTCTTATTATTTGCGATCGAAATTCAAACTCGCATCCAAATCCCTATTAAGGAATAAAATTATGGAAGGGAAATATTGAAAATAACAATGAAACAGCAGACAAAGGTTAAGACGTATCATTGAAGCGTATCATAAAAATTAATATTTATACTTAAAACTTTCTTTTATTATAAAAGTAAGAAAAATAATAAATCTTTAATGTAAACAAGACTCACAGAAATAATAAAGTAAGCCAAAAAATATTAATGTTGTTGCTTACTGTAATAACCATCATTTCGTTTCTCTAAAAATAGTTTGATTTACATTGGAATTTTATTATTTATTTCGAATAAAATCGTAAAATTCTTAAAGAAATAAAGATAAGATTTATTTTACTCAGAACTAATTATTTTTATGCAAAAAATATATAAAACTTTTTTATCCACATTTTGTCTCATATTTTACTAACAGTAATAACTTTCCTCTTCCTTTAAACTTATTCTTGTGCAGGATTTTTTAAATGGGTGTATTTTGAACGGGTTTGTAGTAATTCTTTGAGATTAGTATTAAAACAATGAGTCTTTTTTGCTAGCATCTAAAATATTGTTTTGAAAAAGTATTAAAAACCACACATTTTGCCGCACACAACTGTATCAGAATACACAGTAAATATGAAATAAAATAATGCAGAAATCTTAACATTTAACTCTTAAAACAATACTACTCCAGAAATTAATACATAGTCTGAAGTTTAGTATGTTTTTGCATAAGCATATGACTTTTATGTACTTTTCTTTAAACGCCTTCTTTTACTCTAATAACAAAATTGTAAATAGTTAATTATAGTTCCATTTTGGAGGCAGCTGGGTTCATTGTGCAAAACCGCAAAATTTATGAAGTAAATCCGTAGTCTCAACAGTTTTTTTTTCTTGCCATACAAGAACAAGTTTTTTTTGTTAAATCTACGAAGAAAATCCATAATAAGTCTGGATTTTTACCGTAAGAAAACAACTTTTCTCAGCAAGAATCAATTTATTATCTCAATAGATTTTTACCAAATGGGAACAAGTTTGTGGTGTGTCTCTTAAGCAACAGCGGTATAAGTGCATTATTATGAAGAAATTGTGATAGTGAGAATTTCACCTTAATTTTGTATCAATTTAATGATAAAGTCAATCCGCAGTTTTATTCATACGATATTCAAAACCATAAATTGATTGCTAAATAAACAAGTATAGAAAATAATCGTAGAATGATTTTAGAAAAGGTCAAGTTATATTTACAGCTAAACTGCCAGGCTAAAACTTGAATTTCAACTAATGTTTCAAATCCGTTTTTGGATTAGGAAGAAAACAGGAAAGGTTTTTTTTAACAAAACGGCTTGGAACCGTTAAACATACGGAGAAATTTCAGAAAAAAAAAGGGGTTGACCAAAAAATTAGGGGAGCAAGTCCCCTCAGAGGGCTTGTTTCTTTTGTCATCTTGTTTTGAACGAGATTATTTCCTTTGATCAAATTTATTATTTTCTCGTTTTAACTTGTTTCTAGTTTGTTTTCTACATCCACGTATTTCTTTCTCCTAAATTGTTTTTCGACACAGGAGTAAGTTCTTCATTATAAACCCAGAACTGCAGTATCTTTATTTACGTGAAATTGCATCCGCTTTTTCGTGTTCTTCATATTAATTTATATCTATGTAGGACGGACTTAACTCTTTCTTCTCAGGTGATATTAAAAAATAAAACATTTGATCAAACGTTGTTTTATGTTCTGCGATTATTTTACGTTTCGAAAATAAAAATAAAATCAGAGATACGATTTAGTGAGAATATATACAGGGGTTGGACAAAAAAAATTAAAACACTTCAATGCTTGCACATTTTTCGATATTTCTCAAAAAACACTTAATAAAATCAGTTCTTAGATCTTGTGAATTCTTATACATATCAATGAAATTTTAAGCTTTTTTAAGTTTAAGGAACCGACAATAAATTACAAACAGAAAAAAATGTTTTTGAACAACCTATGTTGAATAAATTTGTAACTTATAACAATTATTTAAGTCATTATGTGCAATAATTAAATAAAATTTCGTAAACCTGGCTTAAATATTTCTGAAATTATAGACATTTTTATAAAATAAGAATTTAAATACAAAATTTTCGACAAAATTAAACAAAACTTTTGAATTAATTTAATATTGGTTGCAAAATTATTGCTTTAACGTTTGAGAAAAAGTCGTTAAAAACTGCGCAAGATATAAGTAATTAAAGTAATTATTTTCTATTAAGCATGCGAGAAAAAGTTTAAAAATAGTTTTTCTTAAATTTGTAGCGAATCGTACTCTGTAACTAATAAAAATAGTCAAATTTAAATATCTTAAAAATTTGAAAAGTTTCAAGCAATTTCCTAAATAGTTTTCTAACTTTTTAAAGGAAAGCTCAAAATAATCAGGGGCTTTCCACAAATTTCATTATTTACTATTAAGCAAGATATAATAACAAATGATAATACCCTTATAATTATGGTCCGGATAACAAAGTGTGATGATATAAAGGAATGAAACATGCGAATGAAAATATACATTTATGGGTTATGATTCCCAACAATGCCGGTATTATTTTTAATAAATCTTGTTTTATTGTACAAAATGATATTTGTGGAAAAAGCCTTATCATTTTGAATCTCTTCTTAGAAGTTAAAAAACAAACTACTTAAAACATTGCTTGAAACTGTTTAATTTTTTAATATATATTCAATTCGGACTTTATTATTACTTACCAAATACGACTTACGACAAAATTAAGAAAATTGTTTTTAAATTTTTCTGTGCATGTTCTGTATAAAAGAACAACTTTAATGACAACTTTAATATTCTGCGCTGTCTTTATCAAATTTTTCAAAAATTTTAAAGAAATAATTTTGTGATCAATTTGAAATTCATCCGAAAGCTTTGTTTAATTTTATTAAATGTTTCTAAATTTATAACGAAAAAACGTAAGACGTAAATTTATTTTTTAATAAAAATGTTCTTACTTCCACGTGAATTTAAGCTAAGTTTACGAAAGTTTCTATAATTATAGCATATAATAACTTAAATAATAGTTATAAGTTACCAATTTATTACTACATTTTTTTGGCATAGGGAGTTAAAAAATATTATTTTTCGTTTGTAATTTCTTGTCGGTCCCTAAAACCTCAAAAAGCTTAAAACTTCATTGTTATGTATGAGGAATCTCACAATCTAAGCAATTCTAAATTTATAAAGTGATTATCTGAGTGTTTTTTGAGAAATATCAAAAAATATGTTTAGTTTTGAAATGTTTCCATTATTTTCTTCGGCCACTGTATATATGTTTAATTAAATGATGATAAATATAATTTAGGAAACGCAGTTTTTCTATACAAAGTAGAATAACAATTCAAATTAATACAAATAATACAATTTATTTTGTAAATAAAGAAATTGCATGCCTCTCTAAGTCTCATTTTGTGAATATTTTAAAAGATAAGCTGTTAAAATTATTGGCTTTGTGCATAATTTTAATCTAGTGATTTGAGAATTTCATATTGACACCGAAATTCTGTTAAAAATTTCAAAAGATTTGGTAAGGATATTTTAATTGAATTTTACGTTAAAAGTCTTGTATAGTTATAAAAGAAGGAATTAATATGAAAGAATGATACTCGTAAGAAATTATTCATTTCCTAAACCGGACATATTTGGATTTATATTTCGGATCATCATAATTTAT